ATATAGTCAGACATTTTAAATCACCTTCATAACGTTTTACAATATAAAATTCGCACGTTAATTTGTGCCATGATTTAGGAAGTGTAATAAGTTAAGAGTTGTGTAGGTGGTACTAAGAGCGACGGTGTACATACAGCTGTTGGTAGCCCTGCTCTCCCTCTCCCTCTCCATGCTGAGGGACTGTAAGCTGCACCTGGTCAGCTACCACATGTCCGCCAACCTCATCAGCTACTTCAACATGGGCGCGGTCTTCGTTATCACTTCCCTTAACATCATCATCAACAGCTTCGGGTTAAGGCCTACTAGCATGCAAGCCTTGACCACCGTTATATATTAAGAGCTAACTTTGACCGTCGTGTGAACTGTCACATTATTAATCCCCAAGTTTAAACCGTAGGCTGTGTCATGTATTATGAGAGACAGTTTTAAGAGACATGTCAACATGTTCCTAAAGTTGAACAAGCAACATAATTTTGGCTTAGCGGTTGCTCTTGATAATTACCTTACCTTACCTTGATAGATCTGCCTAAAGCTCCCTCATATGTCAACCTCTTCTCAACTCAAACTCACATTTTAAATAACTTTCCAAAGAATTGATAAATTTGCAGATTTCTTTTGTGGGAAGAATATAAAAACAAGATATTTAGACATTTGGAATTTCATTATATGGTAGACTAAATTAAAACTAATGTATTAATAGTGTGACTACAACACTATATAACTCATTGAGAAGCAAAACATATACAGTAGCCTCAGCATGGCAGCTGTCAAGTACAGTAGCCTCAGCATGGCAGCTGTCAAGTACAGTAGCCTCAGCATGGCAGCTGTCAAGTACAGTAGCCTCAGCATGGCAGCTGTCAAGTACAGTAGCCTCAGCATGGCAGCTGTTAAGTACAGTAGCCTCAGCATGGCAGCTGTCAAGTACAGTAGCCTCAGCATGGCAGCTGTCAAGTAGAGCAGCCTCAGCATGGCAGCTGTCAAGTACAGTAGCCTCAGCATGGCAGCTGTCAAGTCTGTCGTAACACCTCCAGCGGCGGCAGCTCACTAATATTATCTTAATGAAACTTATCTTCGTCTGTCAGCAAAAATTGTGAAAAAAATATTTGTTGTGGTAAATATCAGTCTTTATGAACAACTCTGTAAACACAATCCCATTCTTTCTGTACTACTGTATTCAGCACCGCTGCATGCTGCGAAATAATGGTGAAATAATGTACGGTGTATTTTGTGTAATTAACAATTTGAATATGTTAACTTGGATGTTACCTTTGATTTATGTGTAGCTATGATGACTTGTTTCTGTTGGGCTCTTGAGTAAGTTGTAGAGTACAACGTGAAGAAATATTTTGATGAGCGTTTCCTGGAGAGGTTAGTCAATTGTGCTGGTTCAGTCAGGGATAATTCTTTGATGACACAGGTGACACTTGAGACCCCGGGAGCACTATGTATGGATGACACAGGTGACACTTGACACCCCCGGAGCACAATGTATGGATGACACAGGTGACACTTGACACCCCTGGAGCACTATGTATGGATGACACAGGTGACACTTGACACCCCAGGAGCACTATGTATGGATGACACAGGTGACACTTGACACCCCGGGAGCACTATGTATGGATGACACAGGTGACACTTGACACCCCGGGATCACTATGTATGGATGACACAGGTGACACTTGACACCCCGGGATCACAATGTATGGATGACACAGGTGACACTTGACACCCCGATGACACTTGACACCCCTGGAGCACTATGTATGGATGACACAGGTGACACTTGACACCCCGGGATCACTATGTATGGATGACACAGGTGACACTTGACACCCCAGGATCACAATGTATGGATGACACAGGTGACACTTGACACCCCAGGATCACTATGTATGGATGACACAGGTGACACTTGACACCCCAGGATCACTATGTATGGATGACACAGGTGACACTTGACACCCCAGGATCACTATGTATGGATGACACAGGTGACACTTGACACCCCAGGATCACAATGTATGGATGACACAGGTGACACTTGACACCCCAGGATCACTATGTATGGATGACACAGGTGACACTTGACACCCCAGGATCACTATGTATGGATGACACTTGACACCCCAGGATCACAATGTATGGATGACACTTGACACCCCAGGATCACAATGTATGGATGACACTTGACACCCCAGGATCACAATGTATGGATGACACAGGTGACACTTGACACCCCTGGAGCACTATGTATGGATGACACAGATGACACTTGACACCCCAGGATCACAATGTATGGATGACACAGGTGACACTTGACACCCCAGGATCACTATGTATGGATGACACTTGACACCCCAGGATCACAATGTATGGATGACACTTGACACCCCAGGATCACAATGTATGGATGACACAGGTGACACTTGACACCCCAGGATCACAATGTATGGATGACACAGGTGACACTTGACACCCCAGGATCACAATGTATGGATGACACAGGTGACACTTGACACCCCAGGATCACAATGTATGGATGACACAGGTGACACTTGACACCCCAGGATCACAATGTATGGATGACACAGGTGACACTTGACACCCCTGGAGCACTATGTATGGATGACACAGATGACACTTGACACCCCAGGATCACAATGTATGGATGACACAGGTGACACTTGACACCCCAGGATCACTATGTATGGATGACACAGATGACACTTGACACCCCAGGATCACTATGTATGGATGACACAGGTGACACTTGACACCCCAGGATCACAATGTATGGATGACACAGGTGACACTTGACACCCCAGGATCACAATGTATGGATGACACATGTGACACGTGACACCCCAGGATCACAATGTATGGATGACACAGGTGACACTTGACACAACAGGATCACAATGTATGGATGACACAGGTGACACTTGACACCCCAGGATCACAATGTATGGATGACACAGGTGACACTTGACACCCCAGGATCACTATGTATGGATGACACAGGTGACACTTGACACCCCAGGATCACAATGTATGGATGACACAAGTGACACTTGACACCCCGGGAGCACTATGTATGGATGACACAGGTGACACTTGACACCCATGGAGCACTATGTATGGATGACACAGGTGACACTTGACACCCCAGGATCACAATGTACGGATGACACAGGTGACACTTGACACCCCAGGATCACTATGTATGGATGACACAGGTGACACCCCAGGATCACTATGTATGGATGACACTTGACACCCCAGGATCACAATGTATGGATGACACAGGTGACACTTGACACCCCAGGATCACAATGTATGGATGACACAGGTGACACTTGACACCCCGGGAGCACTATGTATGGATGACACAGGTGACACTCGACACCCCAGGATCACAATGTATGGATGACACAGGTGACACTTGACACCCCAGGATCACAATGTATGGATGACACTTGACACCCCTGGAGCACTATGTATGGATGACACAGGTGACACTTGACACCCCAGGATCACTATGTATGGATGACACAGGTGACACTTGACACCCCAGGATCACAATGTATGGATGACACAGGTGACACTTGACACCCCAGGATCACAATGTATGGATGACACAGGTGACACTTGACACCCCAGGATCACAATGTATGGATGACACTTGACACCCCAGGATCACAATGTATGGATGACACAGGTGACACTTGACACCCCAGGATCACTATGTATGGATGACACTTGACACCCCTGGAGCACTATGTATGGATGACACAGGTGACACTTGACACCCCAGGATCATAATGTATGGATGACACAGGTGACACTTGACACCCCAGGATCACAATGTATGGATGACACAGGTGACACTTGACACCCCAGGATCACAATGTATGGATGACTCAGGTGACACTTGACACCCCAGGATCACAATGTATGGATGACACAGGTGACACTTGACACCCCAGGATCACTATGTATGGATGACACAGGTGACACTTGACACCCCAGGAGCACTATGTATGGATGACACAGGTGACACTTGACACCCCGGGAGCACTATGTATAGATGACACAGGTGACACTTGACACCCCTGGAGCACTATGTATGGCAGCATTACAGGACACATGATACAGATATAATGGAGGCAGGTTTGCTATACCTATAAATTATCTGTCATAGGGGCTGACGGCCGTCTTGCTGGGAGTCTTGATACCGTTAAATATTAAAAAGAAACACCATCAGTATCCAGCTGAAGTGGTCAATCACGTGGTGATGGGGCTCCAGATGCTTATTATGGCGTTTAATGGCATTGAGACCAGCTTCGACTTTGGTTTTCTCACGCAGAAAAACTCCACCGTCACTCCTTAAAGTAAGACCCGCCGATACTGTTGCCTTTGTGTAACAACCGCTTACCATCCTTTCTTTTACAAATGTGTAAGGAAACACAGATCTGACGTCAGGGTAGATGGCACTCATTAAGTTGCGTAGACACTAAAGCACTTTAAGAAGTTTTGCCGAACAATTAAAGATCAGTCTTATTTAAGGACATTTCTATAACAAATATGATAATAATTCACGGCTTATAATATGAATTAGTTTGCTTTTAGTTACAATTGTAAAACGATTCTGGGTGTTTGTCCTTACCTATTGGAAATGTGCCAGCGTCGCCCACCAGGCCTTATGACAATTGCAGTTGCTCTGAGCAGGGAAGGTGGCTGTTGCCTCCTGCTGCGGCCTGCCACAGGCCTGTGGTAGGCTGTATGGAATGTTGAAGCCTAGTAGGCAGTCTCCACAACAGGACGCAACCGCAGCCCTTCTTTTAACTTTCTTCTTCAATATTAATTCCAGTTTAGATGAGTTTTAAAGAGTGATTTGCATTATTCAGTAATTATCACAACATATAACAAGACATCACATTAGTTCCTGTGAAAGTTGTCATGTATATATAGAGTAACTTGCTGATTTATTGTTTTAGGTGCTGGTGGGCGTACTCTTCATGATTATTGGCGCCATGGACATTAACGATCCCGAACAGCAAACTGCCGCTAACATTTTGAACAACATCATCCTCATCTTCGTCTTCGTCATTTCCACGGATAACATTATCATTTCTTCCTTCGGAATAGACTCTATGAAAATAAATCCTCCAGGTGCCTTTATCAGCGGCAATAAAACGGAATGAGGTAACAAGGGCTTTGACCTGACCACCACTCACCTGTATAGCCTCTTATCATACCAGTCATCCTCCATATCGTCCTCTCATCCTCCTCCATACCTGCTAGGCATCCTCCTCCATATCTACTAGGCATCCTCCTCCACACCTGCTAAGTACCCACCATCGCTCACACCTGGCGGTGGTGGCGGGAATGCAGCCGTGGTGGAGAGCCGAGAATGTGTTGCTGGAGCCCCTGTGATCACCACCAGTGCCTCTCCCCCACACCTCAGCTCACCACAACATAACTATCGTGTAAATGTCGCCATGGAACTATTTCCGCGCATTACTGAGAGTATAAATATATTTTTGACACTTCGTGTAATGGTTTCCGAAAAAAATTAGCTCGATCAATGAAGGTACATCAATCAATATTCAGTATTTTAAAATCATTTAAATAGGCCTTCCGTTTACTCAATCAAGTAAGTCATCAAAATTTTAGAGATCTCTTATTCCATTCCGGTATGATGTTAAATCAAGTTTCCTTCATTGGTTAGCTTTTTTAACGAAAGTATAGACTAAACTTTTGAAGAAAACGAAGAGCTTTTGGAATGTAATTTTTTGTAATATAGTAATTGGAAGTCGAAAATGGCAATCTGAAAAATGTCTACAAATTGAGTAAATGAATGTATGGAGACAGGCTGGAGTGTGAGCGAGGCCCAGACAGAAGCAGCATCAGGCTACACTTAACAAAAAAATTTAAGTAATATATAAGATAAAAAGATGTATTCTTCGGAATAATGGGAAAGATTTTGCTCTAAATCTAATAAGCAGATAGTGTTCTTAACCGACAGTGTTGTCAGAAGTAACAGTAAAATCTATGTGATTCGTAGTTTAATAGATTAGTTATTCACGCCGCCTATGATTACATAACAAGATTTGTTTTAATTGTGAAGTATAAATTTGTATGATACAGTAAATACAAGATAAACGATACATTACCAGAGATATGTCCTCAAGTCCCAATTAAAGCCATTAAATAAAATTAATGCTTCACATTTTACTTCATTTTCCATTTTGTTAGTAAGTTCTTCATGTGAGTACGACGAGGAGCTGGCTGTGCAAGCCATACAACTCTCCGCACACACATTTATAATAAAATTAACCATAATATATTTACTGTAATAGCAATTAATTTGTGTTACTGATTAAACATGAAGTATTATATGTTCAGGTGAGTATGGCAAGTAAATAATACTGATGATAGAGAGTAGGATAACTGTTGTCACATTTGAGGGTACCTCCATATATTGCTACCCCCCCTGGCACATGCTGTGTCACTCCTTATACCTGGCACATGCTGTGTCACTCCTTATACCTGGCACATGCTGTGTCACTCCTTATACCTGGCACATGCTGTGTCACTCCTTATACCTGGCACATGCTGTGCCACTCCTTATACCTGGCACATGCTGTGTCACTCCTTATACCTGGCACATGCTGTGTCACTCCTTATACCTGGCACATGCTGTGTCACTCCTTATACCTGGCACATGCTGTGTCACTCCTAATACCTGGCACATGCTGTGTCACTCCTTATACCTGGCACATGCTGTGTCACTCCTTATACCTGGCACATGCTGTGTCACTCCTTATACCTGGCACATGCTGTGTCACTCCTTATACCTGGCACATGCTGTGTCACTCCTTATACCTGGCACATGTTGTGTCACTCCTTATACCTGCCTCACGCTGTGTCATTTCTTCACACTGGCTCATGCTGTGGCATCTCCTCACACTTATCTTTCGTGCCCAACCACTTGGGCTGGACGATAGAGCGACGGTCTCGTTCCATGCAGGTCGGCTTTCAATCCCCGACCGTCCAAGTGGTTGGGCACCATTCCTCCCCCCCCCCTTCCCCCGTCCTATCCAAAATCCTTATCCTGACCTCGTCCAAGTGCTGTAAGTCGTAATGACTTGGCGCTTTCCCCCTGATAGTTCCCTCCCTCTCTTCCATGACCCAACAGTATAATATAATGAAAATATATTATAGCAAGTAAATAATACTGATGATCGAAAGTTTATTCACAGATATGCTGTGACTATGTTTGAAATATAAAAATTATATGTTAAAATATTATATAGATTTAGTAGTAGTGTCAACTTATCTTTTTCTTTTTATGAAGAAAGTTAAAATAGATTAATATTCCTGCATATCGATGTCTAAATATATATGCAAGAATTAAGGTGTCAAATAAAATTTGACCTGTGCCTTTATTTTGATATGTCATTGTTCTTAAATATCTAGCTGTGTGTCGTATGTAGAATGCTTTAGGGGCATTAGCCCCGTTAATATTATATAAATTTAATGTAATTAGTTCCTTGGATTCATTAGGAAGTTTGAATTGCTTGACAATCATCATGTAAAAAAAAATATTTGTGGATGTTATTTTTCCTGGAGATGTTGCCCATAAGAGTGTGGTGGAGTGCGGCGCGGTGTCGGGGTGGGGTGTCACCCCTTCCACATCTCTTAACTAATTCAGTAGCGGTGCAGAGTTAGTAGATTATTACAGCAAGACCACTTTACTGATTAACCCTAATAATAACTAGCCTGCAACTACTCTGGCATCTCTACTACGTGGAAAGAACTTTGGAATCTTAGATCATTTTTCACAATTTTAAACTTAAAATTGATTAAGAATTAAAATCTTATGAGCTATCTACTAGAACGATCAACACTATTAATAATTTGTATACGAAATTCAAAATGCGTTCTCACATTTTCTGCAGATGTAGCCTAAAAAGACCACCAAATTATGTTTATGCTTTTATCTAACTAAACGAGAATAATTATTGAGGAAAATGCTCATATATGACACACACACACAAGACATCTGACAGGTGAAAAGGTGGGGGGCCCAGGAACTGAAGTTCAGCCCCCCCCCCCCACACACGACGTAATATAAGGAAATATTCATACCCTGAACGGATGGTAGACAAGTGGACTGCACTGAAGCAAGTCCTGGAAGCCTCCTCCATCCACCACTTTAAGGTCAGATTAAAAAAAAATTAAGCGTCGGAATACCAGTAGTTAAATTGTAACACAATACAGAAGGCGGGTACATTATATGTTGTACCTAGTAGGCAGAATACGCGCTGTTTGGTCTACTATATAGGCCTAATTTGCTTAATAAGCCAAGTTTTCCTTAAGTTATATATATATATGTCGTACCTAGTAGCCAGAACTCACTTTTTGGCCTACTATTCAAGGCCCGATTTGCCTAATAAGCCAAGTTTTCCTGAATTAATATATTTTTTCTATTTTTTTTTCTTATGAAATGATAAAGCTACCCATTTCATTATGTATGAGGTCAATTTTTTTTTATTGGAGTTAAAATTAACGTAGATATATGACCGAACCTAACCAACCCTACCTAACCTAACCTAACCTATCTTTATAGGTTAGGTTTGGTTAGGTAGCCGAAAAAGTTAGGTTAGGTTAGGTTAGGTAGGTTAGGTAGTCGAAAAACAATTAATTCATGAAAACTTGGCTTATTAGGCAAATCGGGCCTTGAATAGTAGGCCAAAAAGTGAGTTCTGGCTACTAGGTACGACATATATATATATATATATATATATATATATATATATATATATATATGTCGTACCTAGTAGCCAGAACGCACTTCTCAGCCTACTATGCAATGCCCGATTTGCCTAATAAGCCAAGTTTTCCTGAATTAATATATTTTCTCAAATTTTTTCTTATGAAATAATAAAGCTACCCATTTCATTATGTATGAGGTCAATTTTTTTTTATTGGAGTTAAAATTAACGTAGATATATGACCAAACCTAACCAACCCTACCTAACCTAACCAAACCTATCTTTATAGGTTAGGTTAGGTTAGGTAGCCAAAAAAGTTAGGTTAGGTTAGGTTAGGTAGGTTAGGTAGTCGAAAAACAATTAATTCATGAAAACTTGCCTTATTAGGCAAATTGGGCCTTGCATAGTAGGCTGAGAAGTGTGTTCTGGCTACTAGGTACGACATATATATATATATATATATATATATATATATATATGTCGTACCTAGTAGCCAGAACAACGTACTCGGCCTACTATGCAAGTCCCGATTTGCCTAATAAGCCAAGTTTTCTTGAATTTATATATTTTTCAATTTTTTTTCTTATGAAATGATAAAGCTAATGATAAATTTCAAATTTATCATTAAAGAAATGATAAATTTCATTATGTATGAGTTAATTTGTTTAAATTTGAGTTAAAACTAACGTAGATATTTGACTGTACCTAACCAACCCTACCTAACCTAACCTAACCTAACCTATCTTAACCTAACCTAAACTAACACAACTAAGTCAATAATTTATGTTCTTAATATAATATAGTAATAATAATTCAAATAAACTAATTGGAAACAATTTTTTGAAAATAAAGAAAATCACTCGGTCTATTAGGCAAATCGGGCCTTGCATAGTAGGCCGAGAAGTGCATTCTGGCTACTAGGTACGACACACACACACACATATATATATATATATATATATATATATATATATATATATGTCGTACCTAGTAGCCAGAACGCACTACTCAGCCTACTATTCAAGGCCCAATTTGCCTAGTAAGCCAAGTTTTCATGAATTAATTGTTTTTCGACTACCTAACCTACCTAACCTAACCTAACCTAACTTTTTCGGCTGCCTAACCTAACCTAACCTATAAAGAAAGGTTAGGTTAGGTTAGGTAGGGTTGGTTAGGTTCGGTCATATATCTACGTTAATTTTAACTCCAATAAAAAAAAATTGACCTCATACATAATGAAATAGGTAGCTTTATCATTTCATAAGGAAAAAATTAGAGGAAAAATATTAATTCAGGAAAACTTGGCTTATTAGGCAAATCGGGCCTTGCATAGTAGGCTGAGAAGTGCATTCTGGCTACTAGGTACGACATATATATATATATATATATATATATATATATATATATATATATATATATATATATATATATATATATATATATATATATATATATATTTATGAAATGATAAAGCTTTGCATCACATTATATGCAAGTTCATTTTTTTAATGAGTTAAAACTAACTTAGAAATATGACCAAACCTAACCTAACTTATATCAAGCTAACTTAAACTACCATAACATAATTCCAATAAACCAATTGTAAATTATTTTTAAGATAACGAAAATCACTCTGCCTATTAGGCAAATTGGGCCTTGCATACTAAGCCAAGAAGTGTATTCTGGCTATTAAGTACGACATATACATACATACATACCTATCTGGGTTCGAATCACTTCTTGGGTGTGGAGTTTTCAGTTATATATATAACTTAGTGTGAGCTACGAGCTGGAGTGTAAACTGCGCTAAGGTTCCAGAGTTGCTCGCCGCCGCAAGCTCACTAAACTCCATATTCATCACCGTTCTCTGTTGAGTTAAGCTACTTATAACTTTCAGTAACATTTGTTGCTCTACTTTGTAATTAAGATATACTGTGATACACTGACTCAAGTACAACACTCAATGTTACTGTACAATCACAAGTTTGCATGAAGCAATACATTTGTTTTAATACTGTACGCATGAATACACACGGATGTCGTTTGTCTCTTGTTCACACTATGTATGTTCTAGTTATGATAATAAAGATACTGGACTGACTGTGTATATCTTTTTCCCAACACGTTTATGGAATTACAATATGTATAGTTTATTCCAAAGAACCGCATGTTCACCATAAGAGTGTTTTCAGGGGTAAGTCATTATAAAGTCAAAGAATTAAGTAAGTGCCAGTGTGACTGTTCAACTCCATTGTACTGCTCAATCCAAAGTAATTTAATATTGTTCAAGATGCGAATACAGGAGGAAAAGTACATCCGGTTCACCATATAAAATGTTTCTGATTTACTGAGCAGAGTATTTCTCCGCACAGCTGTTTACTGGTCCACTCTTCATCATATACGTCACGACCTACCAAGTGTCACTCAACACCATATACGTCACGACCTACCAAGTGTCACTCAACACCATATACGTCACGACCTACCAAGTGCCACCTTAACACAGCTGTATATCCCGATGACAACTTTTGTGGCATTATTTTACCTCTCGAATCTTTTCCCTGAATTAGTTTTCAAATAAAATAAATTCTCTAGGCATAAAATAAATTTGTAAAACGATACCCAATTAATGAAACGAAAATTCTTTAAGTTATTAAGACAATGTTAGTGGACTACTCGGAATACATAGAAGTTACAGAACACATTGATACTGTATTCCTCCCAAGGTAGGATCTGGGGAGGATCACTTGCAAGGTCAGTCGCTATTTTTCCACCTGCTGAGAGGTCCACCATTTATTAACTATAATACATTAATCAATATAAATTTCTGTAGCGAAATCACTGGATCGTATCAGTGCGCGCTTCCAATCCACAATCACTAAATTGTAATAGCCAAGCTTAATGTATTAAATTGACATTATCAATCGCAATATTTGTTTTATCACAGAATTTGTGCCAGTTGTTCTTAACAATAAAATCAATATATATATTCTTATATTTTTTTCTATTAAAATATGAGGTACATCTGCATTAGTGCAGCTACCCTAGACTATATGAAGTGGAGTACAGTGTGTCAAAAAAAAGCTAACTAGGTGATGCTAAGAAATCCCCATCACACAGGATGGTTAGTCATACAGAGGCATGTGATAAGCGGTCTGCACTGGCAGACTCCGGATGCATTCTTTTGGATATCATCAACACAAGAGTGAATAAGGCAGCAGTGGTAATACAAGTCCCCATCTCGCAGGATGGTTAGTCATACAGGGCCATGTGTTTAGTAGCCGGCACTGGCAAATTTTGGGTATACTCTTATATTACTTACTTGGTTTGTGGGTAAAACCCCACAGTGTAACCGAGTCTTGGAATTAACAGGTAAATGACACAAGTATGGAATTGACGTCAATAAATAACACAATAATAATAATAATAATAATAATAATAATAATAATAATAATAATAATAATAATAATAATAATAATAATAATAATAATAATAATATATTCACAAGAAGGTGTAACAGGTTGGTGAGATTACATAAGATTGGTATTTTAACATCCTTGCAAAGCCACTAACACGCATAGCATTTCGAGCAGGTCTTTAATCTATCATATCAGATAAGATGAAAAGGTACATTATAGCAATATTTTATATCACATATAACTACAATATTTATTGACAGAGGTGATTGTTATCTACCTAGTACAACAAGGCCCGTGTATCTGGCATCACTGGATCGTATCTAGGGGTACAGCACCGTGCATGTATTTGATACACCAGAATGTTCCTAGCAGACACAATTTAAATAAAAGAAACAAGTAAAACATCATGTA